GCTTACCCTGCCATACAGAGTATGTAAGAGTGAATGTCCAGTCCTGTCTGCAACACAACAGCATCTGTGGGCCTGTCCTCCYTTTCCAAACTGAAGACTCTGTCCACCAAATGCACGCTGATAGATCTTTCCTTCCTCAGTTCTGCTGAACGGCATCCCGTAATTTTCCAGCTGTTGAACCCAAACAACAAGCATCAGAAACTCTTGTGCGTCAAAATACAACACGTTATTTTAAGATCACCTTCTTGGAAGCTAGCCTGTGATATAAATAACTACAGCTGACATCAAATCCCATGAGTCTCACCTCTATCACTGCAGCTGGGGCTTGCTCAGTCATGTAGTGTATGGCATCCTGGTCACCCAGCCAGTCCGACCCTTTCACCGTGTCATAGAAATGCCACCTCCAGTTATCATCCTCCATGTTCCCCAGAGCAGCATTGATCCCTCCCTGAAAATGAAAATCMATTTTCCAGGCATTACATTAATCAAGTACAGGTTTACCACTTATGCAAATAAAATCAAGTCAGATTTAAGGTGGCTGTGAAAAACCTGTGAAATTCCTCAGTTTCACAATGGCTCATCCTGCTGTTTTGTGTAACACAATGAATCACAGTTACACTGTAGGCAGAGAAGCAGCTCTGCATTTTGATAATGTTTAGAAAAGGGGAAGACAAAAGAGGCACTATAATGAAACAAAAACATAAGAGGAAATAAGGATTAAAAGAACAACTAGAAGCCAGATAAAAAAATGTGCCTTGCAGTCACTAACTTGAAAGTAAAATTAAATATATCTGTTATTTCATATAGAGTTTGGCARTGATAGGTTAATGTTGCACTCTTATGATCTTAGAGGTCTTTCCCAAACTTAATGATCCTGCGATTCTATGATATACTACCCTCCAAAAAAGTTTCAACTAAGTACRTAGTACTTATACAAATAAGCATGGCCTTGAAATATGATGTTCAAGTGTCCCATTCCTAGTAAGTTCAAGGCCAGGCTGGATGGGGTCCTGAKCAATCTAATGAGTGGAAGCCCTKTCCACAGCAGAGAGCTTAGAACTGGGTATCATTTAAGGTCCCTTCCCAACCCAAACCACCAAATTAATTATTCTACACCCAAAACAGCTCTCCAACAGCAGGCATTTTTTTAAACATTTGTTCTGCCTCATTTCTCACCTGTGCAGCAACAGTATGGGAGCGGGTGGGGAACAGCTTGGTAATACAGGCAGTGTTAAATCCTGCTTCTGACAAACCAAAGGCAGCCCGCAGACCTGCTCCTCCTGCACCCACAACAACTGCATCGAACTCATGGTCCACTACCGGGTATTGTGTGGAAATCTGGAAAAATAAATCAGTTTATTATGATTACAAAGAGTTCAAGATAGGTCAAATAAGTTTCACAAAAACACAGGGAGTATAGGTATAACATTCTTAATAAGACTCTTGCAGCAATTGCTACATCTGTTATACTCTCTTGCTTGAAAACTGTCATGAAAAAGAGCCATGCATTTTAGCAACTGAGTCCCACAAAGGAGTTAGACACAACATTCCACTAAAAGCCTGAATGTTTCATGTCTGTCAAGCATTAAGTGCATTACTGAATCACAATATAAAAAGTACAAACATACCGAGTCAGAAACCTTCGTAGAGGCATTTTTCTTTCCRTAGACTGTGAAGTGTAACTTCCGTGCAGGAGCATGGCACGCTGCTGGCCACTACAAAAAGAAGCCAAGACAACTATTATGGAACAGATGTCTCCACAGGATAGACTTTTAGCATTCTCAGGTACCCTACATTTATAAAAAATCTTCTCTTACCGCTGGTATCACATATACAAGAATACTAATGTATTTTTAAAGCTACCTGCAATGACCTTCTGGCTTTCCTATAATCATGCCATATAATAAAAAAAAAAGTTTGAGTGGGTAAGAGAACAGCCTGCAGTTAACAGAGTGTCCCAGACTATCTATTATTTACCTCACTAACAGTGACCAGTCTCTCAGACCTATCAGAGGCTGCACCRAGGAAGAACATGTTTGCAATTAATGCTGCAGTGTTCTTGCAGGTTTTTTTCATAATTAAGCAAAGACAGCTTTGTGGGAACCATGGAAAGTAATAGAAAATACCTCTCTTGTCAAGCAATCCTCAGAATGAATTATTTCAGGTAGTCACAGTACTGAAAATTGAAAAAGGTTGTAGGGAACGCTCTTCCAGCTGAACATTGCTTCAAAGGCAGAGATATTTCTCTTACTCTTTATGAAATGARTGACCAATTTAGAACCACTTATTAWTACATAAACTAAGCACAAGGGTACAAGTTTTATCCTTCTGCAACGTCACTCCCTCTCCCCGACCTGTTCAAAACCAAACCAACAACACCAGCACCTAAACCTACACAGTATGAGTCTTTGCTTTGATAGATTAAAACAATCAGTATTTTAGTTTCCACCTTGCCAGTGTATAAGAACCTGGTATTCCTTCTTTGCACAGTTCAAAAAACAAGCCCAACYCAGCATGCGTGATTGCTGAGAACAGCAAAACAAAGCCACATGAGTGACCTGCCCAGTGACATCACCACCTCCCTATTTGAAATATATTCTAAAATGCACTGGAGTGATACCTGCCTTTTCCATTACCCTACAATATGCAAACAAGCAGCTCTTCCCTCTCCATTACTTTCAAATGTCCTTCCTCTTCCCCCATCTCTCAAGTGAACTCCAGTACACTTTCTTCAACCTAGTTTTATCGTTCCTCATATCAGTTTCCTCAAATTATCTTCTTGCTTTACAGCAAATCTACTGTGTCATTATACTTGCTAACTCATTTGTGSTTTCTACAGTCATCTGGAAATGAGATCAGTCTTAATACCTATTAACAGGGTATTCTACCAGCACTCTCCTCCAGGCAGCTACTCTCCCTGTTCCACACTGCTGTGTTAGCACACTTGGACTCCAAACAAAAGTCCACAAAGCAGAAAAAGATGTTACACTAGGTCTGAAGGAAACACTGATGCAGCAATACTGAATTGTTATGCTATCAGGAAGATCATGGCCCTTGTGAAACTWAAGGTCCAATCACAGCCAGCCCACTGCCACCTAAAACACAGAGACACTTTTAAGCCTTTCCCTCTCTGTGTAGCTGTCTTTTGTGCACTGTTTTCTAACACAAGTACAGCTACAGCTCTCTTTTGTAATCCCAAACTCATTTTGGACACRCAGGATGAGAACAGTGGAAAGAAACTGAAAACTCACACCTCACCATGGAGAAGAACAAGCCTTCACTCAGGACTTACAGCCCAGATAACACAAACCTGCCAGACGCCTCAGCAGCCCTTTCTGGGCACAATCACCAGCCAGGTTCAAGCAACTCAGATATACACTGGCTTCCCACACAGGTCCAAAATCACAGAATCTGTTAGGCTGGAAAAGGCCTCTGAAACCAACCAATGGCCAAACACCAYCATGTCAACCAGACCACAACTTTAAGCGGCACATCCAGTCATCCCTTGAACACCTCTAGGAATGCTAACTCCACCGCCCCTCTGGACAGCCCGTTCCAATGCTTAATCACTTTTTCTGTGAAGAAATTCTTCGTGATGTCAAGCCTGAACCTTCCCTGGTCCAGCCTGAGGCCATTTCATCTCWTCCTGTCACTAGCTGCGAGGTAGAAGAGGCTGATCCCTCTTCCCTGCTATAATCTCTTCTCAGGCAGTTTTAAAGAGCCAAAGAGTCCCCCTGAGCCTCCTTTTCTCCAGGCTAAACATCCCCTGCTCTTTTAGCTGCTCTTCTAGCTGCTCTTCATAGGACTTGTGCTCCAGACCCTTCTCCAGCTTCATTGCCTTTCTCTGGACTCGCTCCAGCACCTYAGTGTCCTTCCTGAACTGAGGGCCCCAGATCTCGGCACGGGTGTCGAGGTGTGACCTCAGCASGGCCGAGTACAGGAGCACAATCACTTCCCTGGTCCTGCTATACACATTATTGCTGATAGAGAAGTCTGCGGCGAGCTTTCTATCCCGGGGCTGGGGCCGCACTTGTCGGCTCTTCCAGGGCCTTTCCCCAGCACATCCCATTGCCGCCGCCTCCCTCAGCCCCTCAGGAGCTGCTCAGGGCCTCAGGCTATGGCGCTCGCTTCCTGAGCCGAGAGGCGCGGCCCAGCCATGCCCACAGCCACCTACTCTCAGGAACCTGCCCCCGGGACACGGGTAGCGAGGTCGGTGCCGCTCCAAAACAGCACCGGAGGAACCGAACATGCCGGGGATGGGGAGATCACCGGGCGGGTCAAGGTCACGGAGGGGACAGCGGAGCCGGGCCGCCGCCGGCGGGAAATCAGGGCAGAAACAAGGGGAAGGACAGGGACAAGGGCATAGACGGGGATAAGTGCAGAGACAGGGACACGGGGAGAGACAGGGACAGAGACAAGAGGGACTCACCGCCCGCGAAGCCGCGGTCGGGCGCAACCAGCGCTTCGCCAGTCCCCGCGCAGCCGCCGCCGCCGCCGCCGCCATCACACACCGCAAAGCCGGGGGGAGCAGACGCGCAGCGCGCAGGCGCGGGGCTCGGCGGGACACACCAACCGCGCCGCGAGGGGGAGACCCCCCCCGAGAA